CGAGAGGCAATACCTGTCGGTCCTCTCGTCAAAAACGACTCGCCACAAGTCTGCTCGACTAGTCAACCGACATCTCACAAGAGTCGGCTCGAAAGGCAGTACCTCTCGACAAGACCAAAGGCGACTACGACCTCGAGCCCCCCGCTGATAGCGCGTCGACATCACATTAAATGCCTAATATGCGCCATCATTTCTCCATCCCCAGCACTATTTATGACACATAGGAGCACGTCGGCTTCGCACGCCGTCTATCCTATCTCATTAATACCGAAGTGACGTCGCTCATTCCGTGACCACTCCACAGCTGATACCTGTAAAGATAATGCTGACTAAGCCGCCAGCCCAAACTCGGTTGAAGAGACCAAAATGTCCTTCATTACCATAAAAGGAAAAATTATTCCCAACACGAAGGTAGGCAATTTCTCTGCACTTTACCACATTCCATTGTACTCACGAACTACGACAGTTCGCCATTTTCCTCCACTCAAGTACCCTGCTAACTTGATCGTCGGAGGAACAATGGGGAAATCAGACCCCGTCCTCTTACGAGTTGCTACGCGTGCAGGGAAGAACAGCCTAACTCCAAACCAGATATTCGGAGAAATTAGCGGCCCCTAATCAACCCAGTTCCTATCAATTTATCTGTGTGATTATATAACATCAACAGAGATCATTATCTGTTATGCACCACTTGAAGATGTAACATGGATCAATAATGAGAGAAAAATGCATCTCTCATTTGCCACCTTAATGAAAACAAATGTTTCCTTGAAAAGTACACTTAGGCCACCTCAGCCACAGTAGGTGAACAGTCTATTCAAGAGTCTATGCTACATATCAAGAACGAAGACCTTAAACACTACAGTGGATGGAATTTCCTCTAAAGATCAGGTGTCCTTTCACCCATGCATGCAAGTAAGCACAAGTCAGCTTAGACCTCAAAATCAAATCCATCTAAATTGTGTCCTTTAGCACCCTTCAGATAGTTAACTACCAATCTACTGTTACTATTGAACTTGAGCCAAAGATACGATCAGGTGACTCACGCCTGAGCGCCAATTGTACGCTCATCTAGTTAGTGACATTTACAAAGAGAAAACTGATGCCACAACTAAAATAGCTTTTATTACCATAAAGTAGCTTATACATATATAAACAATAAGAGCTAAATAAAATTTTAAAATCAAATGAGAATTAGTTGAAAACCTACTTCTTAACAACCTTTAGTGGACTGACAATGATTAATCATGATACCCTCTCTGTTTAGAGGCATCTTCTAGATCTTGATCAGACTCCTCTAGGTTCAAGTTATAGCAGATGCTACTATCATGTTCCCTCAATTCAAAAGAATGTCCTCTCTAACAAAATGGAAGTTCACTACATGCAACAAAATCCTATGTGGGACCACCACATGAGCCACAATAATATTTGTGAACTATACATCTATGATCTGATCAGGTTGATCATTCCTGAAGGAGCTATTGACCCAGAATTAATTATATTGCTTCTGTAGCAATTATCTACATCAGGTATATGCGTATGGACAGGAAGCACGCATTAGTAATTACAAATATATAATAGAAAATCTCTCCAGAAAAGCATCAGGTAAAGATTCTACGACTAATGTTGACAAGCTCCTCAAGCCCATGACTCCAACTTGTGAGGTTAGATGTGCATGTGCTCCATTAGCTGATTGTTTTTGAGAAGCATATAGCAATCAAGAACTCTTAGTTTTAACAGACTCAACAATATTGACAGTGTGACCATTCCGTTGGTCATAAAATCATGCCCGACAATCAATGTGCCCGAAGACACCAAGCATAGAATGTCACATGAAAGACTCCAAGTACTCAGCATTTAAAATATCTACTTCAGCAGTTCAAATCAGAGCAGTTGCACGAGCTAATTTTCCAAAGGTCAATGAACTATTTATGATCATTCTTGAACCTGGACAAAATGTTAACAAATGAAGGAGCAATGGTGGTGGTGAAGAGAAAATATCATTGGCTACATCAGACCATCATTTTTCTTCATGTCAAAGAGCACCCTACCAACAATAACTTTCATAGTATTTTTAAGCTTCTAAACTTACAGGCAACCTATATACATAGTAATAAGGTCATAAAATAGCAAGCAAACTACCCCACCTCTCACATATACAAAATCCAAAAAGCCGACACACTAATTACCACACAAGTACACCTTTCTTGTACTCAGAAAACTTGATCCGTTACATGGATGCATGAATTGAAATACTGAGATAAATAGCTGAGGAATTGATGGGAGGCAAAAAAAGGTGATTCAAGCACCACAATGAACAACTGGAGACACGTAAAATGACAAGTACCTCCCTTAGAAGCTTAGCTTTGGAAACAAATAATTCATAAGGGCATGGATATTTGAAAGTAATGTATGTGGTCATGCATTGAGTTTTTGTTAGTACGCAAGAAAAATATAATGGCTTCTAACCAGTGTTTTAAAAAACGCCTTGGCCACCCGCCTAGGCGGAGGCAGTGCCAAGGGCACTTCAAAATTGGCTAAGCCACATCTAGCCACTGAGATCGCCTAAACGGGAACCCAGCATTAAGCCGCCCGCTTAAGCGGGCCGCCTCACTTTTTAAAAGCAAAAAACAGATTGGGCCCAAAATAGCTTTGGCCGGGGAAAGAGAAAACCTGACCCATTATGTAATTTATACTTAAACCAGGTTACTAAACACCCAAATCCGAACCCAAACCACATTAAAACACCACAAAAATCCTAATTCTCCATTCTCCTCTTTCTTAAGATCGCTGCCGCCTCCTCTAGTCGTTCCCTTTCTTGCGATCGCTACCCCCACCTCCGTCGCAGCGAGCATAGCAGCATCCTCTCCCTCTCTCCTCTCTCCTCTCCCTTCTCCCCTTCCACCACCACAACTTCTCCTTCATCTCAGCCCTCATCGCAGCCTTCTTGCAACCCTCATCGCAGCCCTCATTGCAGCCCTCGTCAAGCCCTAATTGCAGCCCTCTCCTCGAAGACCTCTCCTAAAGCCTTTCTCGGTCTCAACCAGAGCCATTTAAGGAGGTAATCTTCCATCATTTTTCTTTTTAACTTCATGTAGCAGACCCTCACATCACTCAGCATTCAATAATTAGTTAATTACTAAACTCAACAGTTTATTATGTACTGTAGTGTTTAATTTATTAAGTATTAAGTATTAAATTATTCATTATTTACTATTTTTCAGTTAGTTGGTTATGAACTTCAGACTAAATTATTTACTTTTTTTTGGTTAGTTGATTATGAAGTTCAGATTAGCTTAATTGTTTACTAATTGCTAACTAACAGAGTTATAACTCACCGTATATTTACTATTTGTTGACAAGAAAAAAAACATTTAAACCCCTCGTAGGCGCAAACATTTAAACCCCTCGTAGGCGGGGCGCCCGCCTAGGAGCTAGGCGCTGGGTCCGACGCCTAGAGGCGCCTAGCATTTAATGTAACACTGCTTCTAATACCATACATGAAAGGAATTACCAGTATCATCCACTAAACTAGTTTATAGTAGAATGAGTGTTTTGGGGAGGATTAGTTAGTATATCTTACTGTTTAACCCGCTTTGTATCTGTCTCAGTTTGAGATTGTTTCACAAGAGAATCTTCCCTTTTTTCAGATATCCCTTTGAAGTCTTGATTAGACTCCTGCTCCTGCTTCTCAACATTTGTAGTGACGTCAGGTTCCCTCAACGCAGTGGAGGATCTTATATTCATCCCTTTGTCCTTTGACAGTGGAACACCGCTTTGGTAGTTAACCATATTCATGCCTGATTCCCATCCTCCAACTTGAGCTCTAGCAGATGTCTTTGCTTCCCTATAATAATTTGCCCAGTGACCATTTGTAAGCTGATCAAATTCTGGTCTTCCCCATTGAGGTGCCGACCGAACAGCTTTGTGTCTATACTCCTCCTGGGCTAAATCACCAACTCTAGAGTACATAGAATTTGCATCCAAGTAAGCGAATGAGTCACTTGATGACCTGCGATGAGCTACTCTCTTCACAGGAATCTCTGGCTCATTAAGAAGATCATCAAGCCAAGAAGGTTGATCCTCAATGAGAAAGCTCTCAGAGGACGTACGATGATGGTGTCTATGCCCATCACTTGGCTTCGGGATTAGTTTTGATCCTATTGAGCCATAGTCACCATAAGATGGAGAAACACTTGGAAATGGACATTTGGGGGGAAGGAAAGATTGCTTCCCTGAAGAAGCTTGGTTCCTGAAGTTGGTAGCCCCTTTCATATTTGCCTGAATACAAGATCCACAACCTGAAAATTTTCTACACAAGGTTATAAACTCGTATGACATTAACAAAAGGTTAATATTACTCTTGTCGCGGATCAGTAACTAAATTGAAGCTTCAAACTAATAGCAATAATGAGAAATACAACTATGGTTGTTGCTAGTGTTTAAATAATAGTAAGAAATGGGGGTTTCGGTAGCGGGTGTAATTTATATATAGGCTATTAAACCTTAGGGGCTGTTTGGTTACACACTTTTTGAGAAAACTTTTCTCAAAACATCTGACAATGACAAATTTGTAATTAAAAGTTTTCCAGAGATTTCTGTAAATTGTGTTTGGTTCAACAAAAAATTTACAGAAATATTTTTTATAAAATATCAAAAACTACCAAATTTTACAAAAAGCAATTTCCTCTCAAAATGAGAGGAAATCACCAGAAATCTGACACATACCATATTTAATTAAAAACCTACCAAATCTTGTTATTTGCTATAAAGTTATGAGCCATTTTCTTGTTTTGAACCAAACAAGCAAAGTACAAAAAACAAGAAAATTGGTACTTTTTAATTTCTTAAAACTTTTCCTATAGTTTTTTTAAGAAATACAAGGAAATCATATTTTAGGTGGAAAATATTTCCTATAATTTCTAGAAATTGAACCAAACACAGTGTCTAAGTATCAGTAAGAAAGGAGGTTTTTACTAAAATTAGACCCAAAAACGAGAAGGGAAAAACAACTTAATGAGGGGATACTTGAAACAACTGAATAAATTTGAAGATGCAAAATTGCAAATATCTGTGTGCAACTTATTTAAAACAACTTAATGGATTTGAGGGTGTAAGTTACAAATATGGACGTTTAGGGGAAATTAGTACAAAATTTAGGGTCTAAAATGAGAGAGTAAACCCCCGAAAATGCACTAACAATTAGTATCGTATACAAAGCTTCGGTGCATAAAGATCCATCTTTTTAGCAAAAAAAAAAATAGTAGAACTCTAGACAATTGTTAGTAAAAGAAATGCAACTGCTCTAACACAGTGGATAAGATGCATGACAAATCAAACCTAAATAAAGTAAAAAAAATTCCATCTAAATGTACATAATCTTTAAGCAAATGCAGATTAAAAAATTGTACAGTGTAGATGAAAAAAAGGCATAAAAAGGAAAAAAATAATAAAATAAAAAGATGAATCAAGAACAAATCTTTTCATTTATCATGCCTAAATATATGAAAATGGGAAATCAAAATCTAACGAGGAAACGAATTAGATCAGTATCTTACTCTACAAAAAGAAAAATCGAAAGGACGAATCAGAGGCTGCACAAATAAAGACTAGAGCTCAGAATTTCGAACGAAATCCACCTGGAATTGAGAAAATCGAGAGAATGCGCTTACCAATTTGATACAAAACCTAGCCAAGGATTTTTGCCCCTTTTTTTTATTATTTTTTTATTTTTTAGGGTTTCAGAGAGAGAAGATCAGGAAGAAAGAAGGCAATACTAGGCGAGATATGAGACGAATAAATGAATTTATCGTGAAAAACTCGCAGGTTGTTGGTACTTTTCTCCATTGAAGAGGTGGGCGTCAACTGTCAACTATTTTATTTAGTATTTTTTGGTCTGTTACTCCTTTTAACATTTTACCCGGTGCGTAATTAGGATAAACATGTAATTTGCACATTGGTCACTGTACAATGTTGAATTGAACCTTTCGATTTTCTCTCCCTTTTTTGTAAGAACTTAATGGACAGGTTGATTTCTTTTATTTTCCTACTTGGAAAGAAAATTTTCTGACATTTTTTGCACCTAATCGTGATTGTTGCAATAAGAAATAAGCATGTATCAATTTTGAGTTATAATTTTACCTTTAGTTCATTTTTATTCTTGCTTAGATTCCATCTTTGCTCTTGAATCTTGGTTTCTTTCTTTTGTCGTGATATTTTGTCTTCTAGTCAAGAGTTTGGTCAAGTCTTATATGCTTCAATTTGAACGTTTTTCAGATAAAAAGCTCTCCCTGTTAAATCATATGACACTTATATTACGATGAAACGTAAGTGTAAACATGACATGTCGATAAAATTTTAGCGCTTAGCCGCTTAGACCTAGCTCATGCAGAGTTACAAACAGTGACGGATTCAGAATTTTGTCCAAGCGTTATCCCAATATAATTTATCATGATTGTATTTCGAATCTAACATCAACAATTTATAATTTTATCTTTCTTCATGGTGTCCTATCCTTCGATTCGAGTGTTGTCCGAGATAGTAAATACAAATGAAATAATATAAAAATATGCGTATATAAAGCAAACAATTCAGTGGTGTTCTATAACACATGTAGCTTGGCTAAACACAACCTTATATCATTAAATAGATATAAAAGTTATAAAGGAAGAGACACTCGAGGGGGGAAAAAACCTCATAAGAAGCCCCTCTACATAGGAGAAGAGATTCCAAACAACTTAGTTGAGTCCCTAGAATCACTAATGTTTGCAAATACAACCCCTTTAAAAGGAATCTCTAAGTTAACCTGGTCCTCTCGCTATCCTTGCATGTAATTTTGCACAGGGCATCAAAAAGTGACAGCCAAGAAAAATTAAATTAAATTAAAAATTAAATTAAAAAAAAATACTAGTACAGCTGCCTGCCACCTCGAGAGGGGAAAAGGTTGTTGGCATGTCCCTTTGCTTATCTGTTCTTCTTCCTCCACGAGCTCGGCTATTGGCCAATCTTCCCATGTTTGTTGATTTGTTTTGGGAATAGGATGAGTAGATGACACCCTAGCTCCCACCCAACTCCGTGCTTTCACGTTATTAACATTTAACAAGTGGGATTACATATAATTACGTCTTAATCTCGGAACAGATGAGAGAGATTATGATGTTTGCTTTTTTAAGATGGGAGTTAATATTATGTCTAATATTTGGTGACGCTTGAAGGGAAATTACAAATTTTCTCACGTCGCGTTTAGTTGTTGTCTTTTGACAAGAGATTTTTTCTTGGTAAGCGCCTACTTCAAGTGGGCCCTTTTCAGGCGTGGATTTCTCCTACTACAAAAATAACGTTCTTGGAATGCTGTCCTGATTTCGGAGTTACATATTGACATCATTCTAAATCATTCATTCATATTCCTGTACTTTAAAAATGATCCGAATATATTACAACCCATGAAATGGCAGTGAACAAAACATTCCCTAAGCTTTATCATCTTGCTCTGTCTTTGCTTTGTCCTGCTGTCTTTTTTTCCTCTGATAACTCAGTTCGCTATAGAACCCAAAATCATAAAAACCGTAAAAGCCATATTGTAACCTTCTAACCGTCAGAATCAGCCACCTACGGTGGCTTTGTCTTGCTCTTCATAGTTTCAGAACATACTATGAAGTATCGTTTTCTTGCAATATGCTAATGTAGGATATGCTATCTTTTAACAAAAAACAATACTCATTTCATATCATTTACATCTAGCATAATACACCATATAAGATTAGAAGCACTAGGGCTGTTTGGTTGGCATTTTTTGCCCTTGTTTCCCTGCCAAAACTGACAAACTGCCAAAACTGACGAAAGTTATCAATTTTGACAGCTTTACTTGCAAAAACACCTCAAAATGAACGTTTTTGCAAGTAAAGCTGTCAAAACTGACAGCTTTTGTCAGTTTTGGTAGGGAAACCCAAACAAAAAAAGCCAACCAAACAGCCCCTAAAGGACCTTAACCCTTCTGATATGAACAATACTCCTTACGGATCCCCTCATATCCTTAAACTTGGATTTCACTAAACTGTCACTTCTGCAGTAGAAATTTCAACAGTGGTTTTCTAACTTTGAAGCAGATTGCACCACCGAGCAGCTAGGTAAATAATCATGAATTAATACGATCCCCTATCTCAAAGTATATAAACCTGTCTTCAGTATCTTTTTTAGACAACGCAGTAGAAAAAATTAAAAGTAGCAGGCTAGAACCTGCTCGCAGACATTCAGATTGTAAGGAAAGTTAAAATGCATCCTGATCATAAATAAATATGGAGTTAAATTTCTTCCTTAAAAACTGAATATATATTGCCCCAGAACCCCTCTCGGGGCCAATAGAAACTTTCCGGAGCTCAAAAGTCGTCGTCATCCTCCTCAGCAATGTGCTTAGCGAGCTCCTGCTCCTGCTGCTGCCTCTCTCTCCTCTTCTCAGCGCTCTCCTTCTCCTTATGCGAATTCGGAGGAAACCTCAAAGCCTTAACCGCTTCGTTATGCATATTCAAACAGAAGTCAATCCTAGTATTGAAAGCAGACTGAGGCTCATTGGTCGAGTACACATCTCCAGTCTCCTTAGACACCATCCATCCATTCGCATGATCGATGGCTGCATCGATGGCTCCATCTCTGATAGCCTTGGCTACAATACTCTCAGCATCTGCTACTGGGTTTTCTGAGTTCAATCTTAGTTTACTGGCTACATCGGCTAATGATATCTGAGAGTATGAGATGCTGATGTTTCTTAGCCCAGTTCTTATGACATTGTGCCGCAACCTCACAATTAGGTTGTGAGTTCTGTCCAAACTGAAAGTGGATGAGAATTTCTCAGCAACTGAGCGGAATAACTCCAGGTCACCAATCCTTACAGCCTACAAATTTCAAGTTAATACTAACTGAGAGGCTTGCAAATCCGTCACCATTTCTTTTAGTTAATTGTGGATAGACCCACTGTACTGTCACCCAATTGCAGATGGACCTGCGCTATTTCTATGTGGCTGCAGTATACACGCCCCGCGCGCCGCCCCCCCATGATGGTTTTTTTTTACTCTTCTTTCCTGCATAGAAAAGGAATTTTTTTTTTTAACAAATAGTCCTCCTGAAGCGTAAAAGTGCAAAAAAAAAATTCACTGCAGGTGGTCTATCCACCGATTGGGTGGCAGTAGAGGGCTAAGCTCAATTAACCCTCTTTTTGAGTAATAATTACAGATAACGCACTAATCACCGCCCCCTCAAGTCTTTTATGAGCAATTATCACCCCTGGATTTGCATTTTTTGAGAAGCATTGCAGAATAGCCTCCCCCGAAGACGAATAAATAGATTGAGGGTGATAAGTGCTATTGAGAGTTCAGACGAGAGAGGTTATCCCGATTTAATCCTTTTCTTTTTTGTTGTAAAGTTGTGCATACTTACATTTGTTAGCTCAAAGTAAGGTGTAAGCGGCCTTCTTCATTCCTTTCTGCATGAAGACAGTTCGTTCAGGGATCTCGCCAGCAGAAGCGGACCGATATGAGGCGCACTTGTTGCATTGAATCCGGAAGCCTCGGGCTGCAACTGGTGCTTTCCGAGCAGCTTGGAGGAGGCTCTCCTTAGCATCAGTATATTCTAACTGAATGGTCCTAATCTTTCCAAGGTAGAATAGGTACCGACAGAACTGCCAAAGGTAGGTAGCAGTGTTAGCGTCTATATGATTATAAGGTAAATGCTCAGTATCACAGTTCTTTTAGAGGCTTAAATTGGGGTAAGTTTCACAAAAGCCCCCATAAACATTGGGAGGTTTCGTCATAGAAATGTCCTAGAACTTACAAATCCTAAAACCCCTCCAACTATTGAAAATTCTCAATAGCGGTGTTAATAGATATAGAGTAAAAAGAATAAATATAAAAGTTATAAATAGTAACCGTCATCAGTCATGGCACTTGTGTGATACAAGTTCAGGAGTATTGCTATAATTTATAAAGTTCAGGGGAGCTTATGCATAACCCTCCAAAGTTCAAAAGGGTTTGCGAAATTAACCCCTTAATTTCGTAACAGAACTTTAAATGAAGCAGAGAATGTGGCAACAAATTTGCTCTAAAAGCACAAATTAAGAGAAATGACAGGATAATAAACTTGGGTTAAAAGCATTGCCTGTTGATTTGAGTGTGCCTCAAAGCGGGGTGCCTTGGACCTCAGCTTCTCTGCTTGATCATACAAGTTGTAATGGAGGTAGTTGCGAAGAAGCAAATTAAGAAGGGTTTCCTGCATATACACTAGTTAATATATACCAAATACATATACTGTGTTGTATGAAAACCTTTTCAAAATGAGTAACACACCTGACCAAGTTCATCACGACGAAGTGTGGCCATGCGGTGCAAGGCAAGTAGATTCCTGAAATGAGAGGAAAGCAATGTTAGAGATGAACAACTGCGTAAAACAAAGAAATCTATTCTGAAATCTGACTTACCCACGAATTTCAGCCAGGCTATCCGTCAATTCATAGCTGTATGAATAATAGAAGTATAGACGAGATGCTAAAACATCTACTGTTCTTCTATTCATGTTCTTCAGGCGAGCAATGCTTGCAGAAGAACAAGCTTTGGCCTGAAGGAAAACAATAAGGAAACATAAATATAAATATCTGTTTTCATTATCACAAGTTCGGAAATGTTCTTCGTTAACAGAAGATACCTCATCATATCTCTTTTGGTCTATCAGAAATATCAGTACAAGCAGGTAGCAGTAGATCACAAGCTCCGGCACAGCATGCTTCCCAGAAATTTGAACGGCCAGTGTTGCTGTATCCACATCCATTTCATGCTCATCTTCCTGAATAGATAATATCACTATGTATCAGGAAATACCACGTGTGCATTAATTAAGCTTAACCAGGTACTTTGATCTTCGATTACCATGTTGTTCAAAATGAAGGATGACTCAAATATTAACTACATAAAAACTGCCCAACAAATGCAAGCTTATCAAACAATGAAAAGGGGCCACATAAAATAGGGTAGAGTGGTTATCTCAGACTGCCCATAAGCCAAAAGGAACTTCATAGATCAATATGCATAGAGGTAGATTGATGATATATTAAGCAGAGATACTGTAAGATTCAAGTGAAATGGAAGGAAATTTAAGGATTCATTCTAGGTGCAAAAAGTTGATCACTGAGTGAGAGAAATTATGAGCAATACACATTTCTGCCTGTTCTTAAAATGAAAAGGTAAATACAACTCAATGCTAGGAAGAAAGAGTATTGTCCATTTTCTACCAGTTTCAAGGATCAAAACATAATTTACTTTACACAAAAGTTGAGATGGATTAATTATCCAACAAAAATTAGAAAGAAATTATCAAATCATGATGAGAAAAGACTAACAAACACAACAGATCGATCATAATTTTATGATTTGAATAGTTGTAAATACAAGAGAACTGGTGAGGAAATCATAGCTCTTAATACTCGTGCGAAATGCTAAAGAGGTTCAGTGAAGGGACAGAAACAGATCTTTCTGTAAAAGCTCCTTACCCCAGAGCTTGTCTTCATCAACAAACCCATGAACACCAATTTTAATGTACTCTCTAGAAATATGCAATAAGCATATCATAAATATTTATGGGGTGTAGTCGATAGCTATAGTTGCTTGTCAGTGAATTAGTGAAAAGGCATTTACCTTTAATTTTAGCTCAAGATGATAAGGATAGTAGTCAGTTATGAAACCTTTGCTGTCCATTTATTTTTCAATTTCCCCTCTATTCCTAATTTCTTTTTCTTTTGACTTTCACGATTTATTCAGCAAATATGACTATCAACCAGCACTAGAAAAGTGAAGAATGTTTGCCATAGTCTGGATTAAGGAAAGATGTAGAAAGCCTGGAGTTATCAATTATCAAGAGAAATCCAGCTACAGTAAGTAAATCGTGACACAGCAGTTCAATCTCAAAAAACAGAAATGAAGGATATGAACCTTCAGAGAACAGCATAGGTAGTCAAAACCTCATCAATGTAATGCAAAACAGGTCGCAATAAATTGACTGACAGTAAGCCAATCATGACTCCGCAGTTCAATCACAAATAACAGAAATGAAGGATATGAACCTTCATAGAACAGCATAGGCAGTCAAAACCTCATCAGTGTAATGAAATAGTCACAAAAAATTGACCGACAGACTAGCAGGTGGTCTCCAATAAACTCCCCATTGTATTTTGAAAACACTTTTGAAGAAAAACGCCATGGTGTGTTTTTTCAGAAAAAACACAACAAAAATTCATCATGGTATCCAAACACGCAATAAGTTATTTTTTAAAATTCCAAAGCGTCAACACCTTCTTTCAAAATACCCGTCATCCATCCCATAAACCCATAAAGTCATTCAAATAAAGAATCATGCTTTCATTCCCTTTCTCAACCACCACTATCCCCCTCTCCATTGAGTGACAGGGGAGCACGAACAGAGACAAGCAAAGTAGGCAGCGGGGAATGGTGGAGGGACGGATGGTATTGGTTGAGGAAGGAGATAGAGTTATTATGTATTACATTTTTAAACTATTCCAAAGTGATGTTGCCTCCTCAAAAAAGTACCCAAGTTATCTATCCCATTAACCCATGACATCATTGACCCAAAGAATCATGTTTCATCCGCTTTCTCAACCACCGCTATCCCCCTTTCATTGAGTGGCAGTGGGGCACCCATGAAGACTAAGGGGGCATGAAAGAAGACAAAGGCAAAAGTAGGTGACAAAGGAGGGAACACGGTAGTGGTTGAGCAAGGAGATAGCATTTTTACCTTTTACTTTTTGATAAAAATGGTATCATTATTCATTAAATTGTTGCCTTCAATGTGTACTCGGTATACGCTAAGAAATACCAGTGTTATTACAATGTAGGGCGGTGGCGAAGCACCCCGCGTTCGATGTGTCAACGCCTTTTGCACCTCGCAAGCACCATGTGCTTCTTGCGGGGTGCGTGCAAAACATAGCCTCATATATTTTTGTTATTTAACATTTCAATCGGGTCATTGTACTTGATAACTCTATCCCAAAAAGGAAAATTAACTCATTAAGCCTTTTTAGTAGCTTGATGGAGGACCCTAAGTAATTCTCGTTTATTATTTTATTTTGCTTCATTAGTCTTGATTTGACTTCTGATTTGGAAAATAATGAACTTTGCTACTATGTCAAATGTGTTAGCACTAGGCATTAAGACTTCATTTTATGATTTGGTGATAGATATTATTTATTTTGATATTTTTTTATGTGAACATTCATAAACATATTCTTTTGTGCTTGAATATCTATCTCGAAAAATTAATGTGTACGTGTGCGCCTAGCTTCACTCAGGCATTGTGTTGCGCATGCGCATGTAAAGCGACTTTGCACCCCGAATTGCGCCTCGCACATTGATAACCCTAGAAATACCTTTTGAACATAAATAGTTATCTTTGTTCATAAGGCTATAACTTTCGTTACATAATGTGCAACCTTTCCTTATAAAATTGATACCTTTGCTCATAAAATATCACCTCTGTTTGAAAAACGGTTAGCTTTGTTCATTAAAATTTTCTTTTCACATTTCTCTAGTTCACGCTACAAAATGTCACTTTTTCACAAAATTATTATCATTATTTATAAAATTGATATTTATAGTACATAACATACACCTTTGCGCATAAAAATATCATATTTGTTCATAAAACTTTACTTTTGTCCATACAAATAATACATTTGTTTATAAATTGTTATCTATGTTCATCAAAGTGATACTTACATTTCCTTTGCTCTACGCTTTAAAATGTCATGTTTGCTCATAAATTGTTGATTTTTTTATCTTTATTCATAAAACGCTTACATAATTATATAAATATGGATCATTGTTTATAAAATGATAGGGAAGGATATGCAACGCCAGAGGAGAGGTGATGATGGAGGTAGGCAACAACACCGGAGGAGAGGCAATGATGGAGATAGGCAATAGCGAAAGAGAGGTAGTTGCAAAGAGGGCGAAGAGGGAAGAAGTGTAGAAGTAGAAGCTGGTGAGGAGAGACAACAATAGATGCAACCCCCTTACTAAGCCCAAGTAGGTAACATATTCCTATTTGACGTGATGTAGACTTAAGTAGTCCATGCTTGCTAAGACACTTCGAAGGCTTGCCTAGGCACCTAAGTAATGCTAAGGCTTAAGCCCCTCAGAGTTATGAAGGAAGCTGCACGGATCAAGCATGGAAGGAATTGTAAGGTCCATTTCTGGTACAAGGAACATGAAGAAGATGCACTCAATACAGTCATGCCAAGAGAAAGTTATCATCGTCGATCTTCTATAGCATCTTTGATGGTATTAATCGACGGAGACACGTTTGACCAGAAGCCTGACATACAAGTGAGCATGCAATGTTTAAAGGATGTAAGAAGAATTTTAGAGTAAATTACAAAATATTCATCCATAATACCTTTCAAAAAAACTCATCTAAAACCTCTCTTTAAAGCTCTTTATTTGTAACTATTAATGAAACAATTAAATTTTATAACGAAAGACATCTAAAAATACGTTTGCACATGGATAATTTTTTAGCTTTACTTGCAAAAACACCTCAAAATGAACGTTTTTGCAAGTAAAGCTGTCAAAACTGACAGCTTTTGTCAGTTTTGGTAGGGAAACCCAAACAAAAAAAGCCAACCAAACAGCCCCTAAAGGACCTTAACCCTTCTGATATGAACAATACTCCTTACGGATCCCCTCATATCCTTAAACTTGGATTTCACTAAACTGTCACTTCTGCAGTAGAAATTTCAACAGTGGTTTTCTAACTTTGAAGCAGATTGCACCACCGAGCAGCTAGGTAAATAATCATGAATTAATACGATCCCCTATCTCAAAGTATATAAACCTGTCTTCAGTATCTTTTTTAGACAACGCAGTAGAAAAAATTAAAAGTAGCAGGCTAGAACCTGCTCGCAGACATTCAGATTGTAAGGAAAGTTAAAATGCATCCTGATCATAAATAAATATGGAGTTAAATTTCTTCCTTAAAAACTGAATATATATTGCCCCAGAACCCCTCTCGGGGCCAATAGAAACTTTCCGGAGCTCAAAAGTCGTCGTCATCCTCCTCAGCAATGTGCTTAGCGAGCTCCTGCTCCTGCTGCTGCCTCTCTCTCCTCTTCTCAGCGCTCTCCTTCTCCTTATGCGAATTCGGAGGAAACCTCAAAGCCTTAACCGCTTCGTTATGCATATTCAAACAGAAGTCAATCCTAGTATTGAAAGCAGACTGAGGCTCATTGGTCGAGTACACATCTCCAGTCTCCTTAGACACCATCCATCCATTCGCATGATCGATGGCTGCATCGATGGCTCCATCTCTGATAGCCTTGGCTACAATACTCTCAGCATCTGCTACTGGGTTTTCTGAGTTCAATCTTAGTTTACTGGCTACATCGGCTAATGATATCTGAGAGTATGAGATGCTGATGTTTCTTAGCCCAGTTCTTATGACATTGTGCCGCAACCTCACAATTAGGTTGTGAGTTCTGTCCAAACTGAAAGTGGATGAGAATTTCTCAGCAACTGAGCGGAATAACTCCAGGTCACCAATCCTTACAGCCTACAAATTTCAAGTTAATACTAACTGAGAGGCTTGCAAATCCGTCACCAATTTTTTATTACTCTTCTTTCCTCATAGAAAAAGAATTTTTTTTTTTAACAAATAGTCCTCCTGAAGGTAAAAGTGCCAAAAAAAAATTCAATCAGGTGGTCTATCCACGATTGGGTGGCAGTAGAGGGCTAAGCTCAATTAACCCTCTTTTTGAGTAATAATTACAGATAACCACTAATCACCCCTCAAGTCTTTTATGAGCACTTATCACCCCTGGATTGCATTTTTGAGAAGCATTGCAGATACCCCTCCCCCGAAGACGAAATAAATAGATTGAGGGGTGATAAGTGCTATTGAGAGTTCAGACGAGAGAGGTTATCCGATTTAACCTTTTCTTTTTTGTTGTAAAGTTGCATACTTACATTTGTTAGCTCAAAGTAAGGTGTAAGCGCCTTCTTCATTCCTTTCTGCATGAAGACAGTTCGTTCAGGGATCTCGCCCAGCAGAAGGCGGACGATAATAGCCCACTTGTTGCATTGAATCCGGAAGCCTCGGGCTGCAACTGGTGCTTTCCGAGCAGCTTGGAGGAGGCTCTCCTTAGCATCAGTATATTCTAACTGAATGGTCCTAATCTTTCCAAGGTAGAATAGGTACCGACAGAACTGCCAAAGGTAGGTAGCAGTGTTAGCGTCTATATGATTATAAGGTAAATGCTCAGTATCACAGTTCTTTTAGAGGCTTAAATTGGGGTAAGTTTCACAAAAGCCCCCATAAACATTGGGAGGTTTCGTCATAGAAATGTCCTAGAACTTACAAATCCTAAAACCCCTCCAACTATTGAAAATTCTCAATAGCGGTGTTAATAGATATAGAGTAAAAAGAATAAATATAAAAGTTATAAATAGTAACCGTCATCAGTCATGGCACTTGTGTGATACAAGTTCAGGAGTATTGCTATAATTTATAAAGTTCAGGGGAGCTTATGCATAACCCTCCAAAGTTCAAAAGGGTTTGCGAAATTAACCCCTTAATTTCGTAACAGAACTTTAAATGAAGCAGAGAATGTGGCAACAAATTTGCTCTAAAAGCACAAATTAAGAGAAATGACAGGATAATAAACTTGGGTTAAAAGCATTGCCTGTTGATTTGAGTGTGCCTCAAAGCGGGGTGCCTTGGACCTCAGCTTCTCTGCTTGATCATACAAGTTGTAATGGAGGTAGTTGCGAAGAAGCAAATTAAGAAGGGTTTCCTGCATATACACTAGTTAATATATACCAAATACATATACTGTGTTGTATGAAAACCTTTTCAAAATGAGTAACACACCTGACCAAGTTCATCACGACGAAGTGTGGCCATGCGGTGCAAGGCAAGTAGATTCCTGAAATGAGAGGAAAGCAATGTTAGAGATGAACAACTGCGTAAAACAAAGAAATCTATTCTGAAATCTGACTTACCCACGAATTTCAGCCAGGCTATCCGTCAATTCATAGCTGTATGAATAATAGAAGTATAGACGAGATGCTAAAACATCTACTGTTCTTCTATTCATGTTCTTCAGGCGAGCAATGCTTGCAGAAGAACAAGCTTTGGCCTGAAGGAAAACAATAAGGAAACATAAATATAAATATCTGTTTTCATTATCACAAGTTCGGAAATGTTCTTCGTTAACAGAAGATACCTCATCATATCTCTTTTGGTCTATCAGAAATATCAGTACAAGCAGGTAGCAGTAGATCACAAGCTCCGGCACAGCATGCTTCCCAGAAATTTGAACGGCCAGTGTTGCTGTATCCACATCCATTTCATGCTCATCTTCCTGAATAGATAATATCACTATGTATCAGGAAATACCACGTGTGCATTAATTAAGCTTAACCAGGTACTTTGATCTTCGATTACCATGTTGTTCAAAATGAAGGATGACTCAAATATTAACTACATAAAAACTGCCCAACAAATGCAAGCTTATCAAACAATGAAAAGGGGCCACATAAAATAGGGTAGAGTGGTTATCTCAGACTGCCCATAAGCCAAAAGGAACTTCATAGATCAATATGCATAGAGGTAGATTGATGATATATTAAGCAGAGATACTGTAAGATTCAAGTGAAATGGAAGGAAATTTAAGGATTCATTCTAGGTGCAAAAAGTTGATCACTGAGTGAGAGAAATTATGAGCAATACACATTTCTGCCTGTTCTTAAAATGAAAAGGTAAATACAACTCAATGCTAGGAAGAAAGAGTATTGTCCATTTTCTACCAGTTTCAAGGATCAAAACATAATTTACTTTACACAAAAGTTGAGATGGATTAATTATCCAACAAAAATTAGAAAGAAATTATCAAATCATGATGAGAAAAGACTAACAAACACAACAGATCGATCATAATTTTATGATTTGAATAGTTGTAAATACAAGAGAACTGGTGAGGAAATCATAGCTCTTAATACTCGTGCGAAATGCTAAAGAGGTTCAGTGAAGGGACAGAAACAGATCTTTCTGTAAAAGCTCCTTACCCCAGAGCTTGTCTTCATCAACAAACCCATGAACACCAATTTTAATGTACTCTCTAGAAATATGCAATAAGCATATCATAAATATTTATGGGGTGTAGTCGATAGCTATAGTTGCTTGTCAGTGAATTAGTGAAAAGGCATTTACCTTTAATTTTAGCTCAAGATGATAAGGATAGTAGTCAGTTATGAAACCTTTGCTGTCCATTTATTTTTCAATTTCCCCTCTATTCCTAATTTCTTTTTCTTTTGACTTTCACGATTTATTCAGCAAATATGACTATCAACCAGCACTAGAAAAGTGAAGAATGTTTGCCATAGTCTGGATTAAGGAAAGATGTAGAAAGCCTGGAGTTATCAATTATCAAGAGAAATCCAGCTACAGTAAGTAAATCGTGACACAGCAGTTCAATCTCAAAAAACAGAAATGAAGGATATGAACCTTCAGAGAACAGCATAGGTAGTCAAAACCTCATCAATGTAATGCAAAACAGGTCGCAATAAATTGACTGACAGTAAGCCAATCATGACTCCGCAGTTCAATCACAAATAACAGAAATGAAGGATATGAACCTTCATAGAACAGCATAGGCAGTCAAAACCTCATCAGTGTAATGAAATAGTCACAAAAAATTGACCGACAGACTAGCAGGTGGTCTCCAATAAACTCCCCATTGTATTTTGAAAACACTTTTGAAGAAAAACGCCATGGTGTGTTTTTTCAGAAAAAACACAACAAAAATTCATCATGGTATCCAAACACGCAATAAGTTATTTTTTAAAATTCCAAAGCGTCAACACCTTCTTTCAAAATACCCGTCATCCATCCCATAAACCCATAAAGTCATTCAAATAAAGAATCATGCTTTCATTCCCTTTCTCAACCACCACTATCCCCCTCTCCATTGAGTGACAGGGGAGCACGAACAGAGACAAGCAAAGTAGGCAGCGGGGAATGGTGGAGGGACGGATGGTATTGGTTGAGGAAGGAGATAGAGTTATTATGTATTACATTTTTAAACTATTCCAAAGTGATGTTGCCTCCTCAAAAAAGTACCCAAGTTATCTATCCCATTAACCCATGACATCATTGACCCAAAGAATCATGTTTCATCCGCTTTCTCAACCACCGCTATCCCCCTTTCATTGAGTGGCAGTGGGGCACCCATGAAGACTAAGGGGGCATGAAAGAAGACAAAGGCAAAAGTAGGTGACAAAGGAGGGAACACGGTAGTGGTTGAGCAAGGAGATAGCATTTTTACCTTTTACTTTTTGATAAAAATGGTATCATTATTCATTAAATTGTTGCCTTCAATGTGTACTCGGTATACGCTAAGAAATACCAGTGTTATTACAATGTAGGGCGGTGGCGAAGCACCCCGCGTTCGATGTGTCAACGCCTTTTGCACCTCGCAAGCACCATGTGCTTCTTGCGGGGTGCGTGCAAAACATAGCCTCATATATTTTTGTTATTTAACATTTCAATCGGGTCATTGTACTTGATAACTCTATCCCAAAAAGGAAAATTAACTCATTAAGCCTTTTTAGTAGCTTGATGGAGGACCCTAAGTAATTCTCGTTTATTATTTTATTTTGCTTCATTAGTCTTGATTTGACTTCTGATTTGGAAAATAATGAACTTTGCTACTATGTCAAATGTGTTAGCACTAGGCATTAAGACTTCATTTTATGATTTGGTGATAGATATTATTTATTTTGATATTTTTTTATGTGAACATTCATAAACATATTCTTTTGTGCTTGAATATCTATCTCGAAAAATTAATGTGTACGTGTGCGCCTAGCTTCACTCAGGCATTGTGTTGCGCATGCGCATGTAAAGCGACTTTGCACCCCGAATTGCGCCTCGCACATTGATAACCCTAGAAATACCTTTTGAACATAAATAGTTATCTTTGTTCATAAGGCTATAACTTTCGTTACATAATGTGCAACCTTTCCTTATAAAATTGATACCTTTGCTCATAAAATATCACCTCTGTTTGAAAAACGGTTAGCTTTGTTCATTAAAATTTTCTTTTCACATTTCTCTAGTTCACGCTACAAAATGTCACTTTTTCACAAAATTATTATCATTATTTATAAAATTGATATTTATAGTACATAACATACACCTTTGCGCATAAAAATATCATATTTGTTCATAAAACTTTACTTTTGTCCATACAAATAATACATTTGTTTATAAATTGTTATCTATGTTCATCAAAGTGATACTTACATTTCCTTTGCTCTACGCTTTAAAATGTCATGTTTGCTCATAAATTGTTGATTTTTTTATCTTTATTCATAAAACGCTTACATAATTATATAAATATGGATCATTGTTTATAAAATGATAGGGAAGGATATGCAACGCCAGAGGAGAGGTGATGATGGAGGTAGGCAACAACACCGGAGGAGAGGCAATGATGGAGATAGGCAATAGCGAAAGAGAGGTAGTTGCAAAGAGGGCGAAGAGGGAAGAAGTGTAGAAGTAGAAGCTGGTGAGGAGAGACAACAATAGATGCAACCCCCTTACTAAGCCCAAGTAGGTAACATATTCCTATTTGACGTGATGTAGACTTAAGTAGTCCATGCTTGCTAAGACACTTCGAAGGCTTGCCTAGGCACCTAAGTAATGCTAAGGCTTAAGCCCCTCAGAGTTATGAAGGAAGCTGCACGGATCAAGCATGGAAGGAATTGTAAGGTCCATTTCTGGTACAAGGAACATGAAGAAGATGCACTCAATACAGTCATGCCAAGAGAAAGTTATCATCGTCGATCTTCTATAGCATCTTTGATGGTATTAATCGACGGAGACACGTTTGACCAGAAGCCTGACATACAAGTGAGCATGCAATGTTTAAAGGATGTAAGAAGAATTTTAGAGTAAATTACAAAATATTCATCCATAATACCTTTCAAAAAAACTCATCTAAAACCTCTCTTTAAAGCTCTTTATTTGTAACTATTAATGAAACAATTAAATTTTATAACGAAAGACATCTAAAAATACGTTTGCACATGGATAATTTTTTCCTCTTCTATTATAAGATGTAATTATTTCATTAAGCAACATAGGTACAAAGACTTTTTTAGAAAAATTTTAATATGAAGAGATTTCTTGGAATATAGATTGCGAATAAAGAAGTTTCTTGTAAGTTATCCCAAAATTTACATCATGTAACATTACATGCATGCTCACAAGCTAGACTTATGTCAAACTTGCTTCAGACAATTAAAATCATCCAAGAGGCTATATAAGATCAACAACGGTAACAAACCCTTGGCATGGCTTCATCAAGAGCACATTTTTCATGTTTCTCATCGGACTAAAATGGACATTAAATTTCACATCCGCTCAATCCGTGCAACGTCTGTTATAACTTGAGGCAGTACTACAATTGCAGAATATCTATTTCTGCCGTCAAATGAAACGCTTATTAGAGTGGTATATGCTCTCTATAACACAAAATTTGTGATTGATAAAGGATGCCTTCAAAAGATTATAAGGATATAAACAAATTTCAAAGAGATAGGCATGATTTTAAAAATTGCTCATTTATGCTACATGAACACACATCAGACCTCCTTTGCACCAAGAATTGCAAGATACTAGGTAAATGTGTTTTGACATGTCAGCATATGTCTCACTTTAAACCAACCTGGAGATAGTTACATCTGGGCATTATAGTGTTTAGCTCTCATGAGCTATATGATTAGAGATTTAGACTTTACATATGTAAAGTCTCATTCAAGCATGAATCATGCGCGTATGTCACTTTAAGACCGTGCCAACAAATGCATCAAACATTAATATCCTAGACTTTTAAAGGTTTTGCATACCCATATATTTGACTTTTTGCGTCCACCTCCTATTTTCATGCTTGAGTAACATAGTAGCCCATATTATAATAAACAATGTGGCGAAAATTCACGATGGCTTAGTGGCACATATCAAAACACATGCAATTGGACAACCATGACTTTGCCCAAACGAAAGGAAAGAAAAAGAGTACAGGTGCAACAAAAGCCAGAAAAATGATTAAAATACAAACGATAAGGAAATGAGGTAAAAATACTTCAAGAGGAGGAAATCCAAGTCAAAGGGAAAGGATAAGAAGACAGACTATGAAGAGCCGATAAATATGTGAAGAGAACAAGAGCTTCTACCTAAAATAACTTAAGCTCAGAGAAGTTGCAAGTTGATGTTGATGTTTGTTTATAACAATTTTGCCAGATCACCTCATGGTCTGGAACAACGTAAAAACCCCATTATAAAATTGCATCAGCTAGACCAGGTACTAGAGGGTTTGTTTGTAGGCAGCTAATATGTACCAAGGCGAAGATTTGCTTGAGTGTTAAAGAGGTCAACAAGGGAAGGGTGTAGAGTTTCTAAGAAATTAGTGTTATCTCTACGAAATAGTGTATATTAGTAACTACAAATAAAATAAATCTGTAGCTTATACCAAGGAAGAGGAGATCTAACACCCTATTTAGATTGGGGGTAATGAGAGGTAAGAGAAACTAAGTGAACCATAACTCTGTTTGGGAATTCATTTGAGGGGGTTAATGGAGGGAAATTTAATTAATGTGAAAAAAATGAGATTCTGTTTCCTCCAAATTTGGGTGAAATTGAGGCAAAGGAAAATTATCAAAAATAGATTTTCCCACAAACAGGGACAACCTTACACTCCCAAGATCAAATTCAGCGGTTGAGATTGAAATTCCCTTCCCTTCCCTCTATTAAAGTTCCTAAATGGAGTGAAATAAGTACCCCTCGATTCTTCTTATTAAATTCCTCAATAAGATTATGATTTTTCTTATGTTTCTTATCCCCCCCCCTCACATCCCTTCCCTTCCCTTCCCTTAGTGAATTCCCAAACATATTGTATTCATTCAGAAATAAAAATGAGAGAAAAGAAAAAAAGAATGTTCTTCATGCATTAAAGCTAAAGATGAAAGCTATGCGCTCCATTAATTGCAAAGTGGGAAAGAAGACAGGTGGGAAGAAGATATTTGAGAAAGATGAGCACCTTTATTGAAAAGTTAACATCGATAAACCATCAGGGAGCATCAGACACAAAACAACAGCTCAAGGACAAGCTTCCATATGTCCTGGAAAAATTTTGCAGGTCTCAAAAAGCTTTCTAACATTAAGGGGTATAAATGGCTTCTCTCAAGCAGCACAACAAAAGCTTATGGAAAACACTCATTGTATTGCAACTTGAAACAACCAAATTTCAGCATTAACAAACATGTTGAACCAAAATTCACCATTGAAACCTGATGGCAATGCAATAGGAAAAATCTAAAAGATTTAAGATTAGGAAATTGCCATTATGATTGTAATATGTGACATAAATCATGACAAAATCAGAAAGATGCGCATAAATGAGCACATTATGGGTGCATCAATATTGCTTAAAGCAAGCATTTCACCCTTTCAAAGAAAAAATTTGCTTCTATAGTAAAATTTGGATATTTAATAACTGAATAAAGGGCTTAAGATGGGAATGAGCGAGACAAGCTTATGGCAAGGCCGCAAGGCACTTAAACAAAATCTAAAAAAGGTTCAAGATTGGTGAACAAGCCAAAACCAAACGATGATGACACAAAGATGTGGGGAGGAAATACCGGTGTCAATACAATCTGTATTAACTCACAAATCATTACACAACACAATATATTCTTAAATGAGCACACGGCTGTTTGCCACTGCTTAATTACAAGTGCTTTCGCCTCTGTTAAAACAAATAAGTGTTATTGCCAAATTTCAATCTTGTGGAGAAGCGCAAGACAAAGCTACAAACTGGAGAAGCCGTTTTTTGGCTTCTCTCAACTGAAAAGTACAATGACCCATGTGACAGTTCCTTTTACCTCTCTTGTTTCTCCTAGCAATTTCTTTTGAAAAAAACTTCTTTTAACTGAGCTATTTCTCTGTGATTGTTGTTTCACTCTCATGAACTTTATCTAAAATTCCTACACTCATTCTTATCCAAACTTCTTTTAAAATACCTATTTCAATTATTTAATATCACCAAACACATTACTTATACAACAAAAGCTCTTCCAAGTGTTAATTTTTTAATAATCTTACTGTAGGACTTGTCCGCAAACAAAAGCAACACCAAACACAATTATTATTCCCACGGTTCCTACTTGCGTACTTACAATTGCACAACCTAGCGTACAGCCATGAATATCTCCTATGACTGACACATAGAACGGGCTAGACAGTGTTATGTGTATTCTTTTATGCCTCCTCTACACATTCAGACACAGGATATCATAATGGCTCAAGAGATCAAAGGATAACTCTACTTGCATTTTTGTGACCAATGAAAAAGGTGCATACACCAATTGCATGGTCCTCTTTGTCATCGAGGTCCATCTTCAAGCAACTACAAGATCAAACAAAGTAGGTTATCAAACTTAAATAACCGGTTCAGTTTTTGTAGACTTGTCATATTTTTTATTGTTGAAGCTGGCCTAAATCTACAATGCCTGCCTGCAGAAGATCTGCGTTTATGAAAGAAGTTTCCTTTGATCATCTCAATGGTCCCTAGTACTTTTCACGATGCTACATCCTGGCAACAGATACAAGTATCTCCATCACAGATCACAATGAAAGTAGAATCTCAATCCCAGGAGATCTTGTGCCTACATTGTAGGCAACATGGCCAAACTAAGGACGCCGACCAAACCCTAGACCGATAAACCTGCAACCCAAATGTGTAAGTCTGATTGCACCATAACACTAACATAACCAATTAGGTTTTGCTACATCTCTTAGAGATGCGCAAGAGACATTTGATGCAATATAATAACCTAATATCATCACTGTGTTTTCTTTAAGATCAGTTGAATTCCAATCAAATCAAATAGACTCAACTATAATTCATCCAATTAACCTTCAACTATATTCCTGAGTTCTCAAGATCCAACCTTTGAAAGATACGAAGACAGCTTAGAAAGCGAATCCGATCCCGGAGCTAGGGCAAACGAGATGAACGAAGACACCGCCGCCGACGTCAGGCTGCGGCGGAGCACGATCGTCGTGACGCCGCCGGCTGATCCTTCATCTCGACGTCGTCGGCCGTCATGATTCTGTGTTTTTTATTTCGGTGGGGATTGAAGAGGGTGAGATTTTGGTTCTGAAATAAAAAGAGGGACAAATTTTCAAAACCGACCCTTTTGGGTTTTTAATTACAAAAAACGACCGGTTTTGAAAATATTTACAAAAATCGACCTATTTAGCTGAAAACAGGTCGGTTTTTTTAAATTTTTTTGGAAAACTTCACGGGAGTTGAACTCCCGTGAAGTTTTTCTCATAACAAAACTTCACGGGAGTTGAACTCCCGTGAAGTTTGGAAGAAAAAATTTCAAAAACCGACCCAGTTTCAACCAACTGGGTCGGTTTTTATAAATAAAACTGAAATAGGTTGTTTTTGCAATTAAAAATCTAAAGGGGTCGGTTTTGAAAATTTGTCCATAAAAAGAGGCAAGGAGGATTATCATATATAGGGATAATTGTGAACACATCCCCTGAAGTTTCAATTTGTTGCACTTACTACCCTTATGGTATATATTGTTGCATTTACACCCCCTGCGAATTACAACAATAGCTTTCCCTCACCAAAACCTCGAAACTTATCCTTTTACCTTATAGTTTCATCTCTCTTCCCCTTCGTTTTCCCCAAATTGACAATGACTACTGTAGATTGTCTAAAAAATTACTGCAGATAGTTGATCATCATCAAACACCGATGATGAAAGTTACAATTTGACGGCTTCAAGAAGGCTACAATTTAAAAACTTTCACGTGGATTGATGAAGGTTATAATCTGACGACCTTCACAACAACCGATGAAAGCTCTAATTCAATAGCATTCACAATCAACATCGAGAATTACAATCTGACGATTCCAAATTTCAGGGAGCTAGAGCGAAGATTACAAAATGACGATCTTCGCAACGCTCTAACAAAAGAGATTACAAGTAAACAATATCTTCTGATCCAAACACAGAGCTCATTGTTGCGTTTTCAGCCCAAAATGTAGGGTTCATCGCTGCGTTCCAGATCCAAACGCGGAGCTCATTGTTACGGTTTCAACCCAAAACGCAGGGTTCATCGTTGTGTTCCAAACTCAAAACGCAGAGTTCGTGGCCGTGTTCCAAACTCAAAATGTAGAGTTCGTGGTTGCGTTCCAGACTCAAAACGCAGAGCTCATTGCTGCGTTTTCAGGCTCAAATGCAGAGCCCAACTTTGCATCCCAGGTCCAGAACGCAGAATTCGTGCCAGAACGCTGATTTTGTGTTTGACTCATTCAAACACGGGCTGAAGGGTTTTAAAACTGTTTTCCACGATTTGAGGGGATCACTCCCCCACTTAGGAGCGAATTAAGGGGGCGGTTATACCCCTTAATCCCCTATAAATACTAGAAACTCAACAGAGTTTAGTATCTTTTTTGGATCAATCTTTTGGAGATCGGCACAAGGCTTCTTGGTAGAAGAAGGATCTCGGCAATCTTCAGACCCTCGGAGTTGTTCTTGGAGCTTTCATCAACCTTGGCTTACAAATCAATTTTCGGTTAAATCAATCAACTCTTTTATAGAGTTTAAACTCGCTCAGAGTTCCCTAACTCGTTAAGAGTTTCACACTTGCAACGCAAGTTTGTCCAAGACTTCGAGTCAAGAGGCGAAGACAATGTTCCACGAGGTGAAGCGTTCGGATCATCAACGGAAAGCAAACTCGACATGAACATCGAGTGAGGCATTCTATCAACACCAAGAAGAACTCAGGTTAAACAAAGGGAATGGTCTCCGTTGATCCTTCTCTCTTTTGTAAATCGGGAAACCGATCGAAAAGATTGTAATTTCTTTTTTTAAGCCAGTTAGAGAGAAATTTGCATTGAGAGAATTGTAATTTATTCTTTTCTAAGTCTGTTAGAGAGAATAATACAAATTCAATTCTCTATTTTCTTCTTTCAATTTTCCCATCAAACAAAAGATGGCGACTCAGTTGGGGACAAGCTTCACTAACGAAGAAGTGATGGTGCAATCCGATGTCAACCTCGCTGGAACCACGGTCGAAACTCTTGTTGTGGAGTTTGATAAAGCCAAGTACGAGGAGATACTCTCCTTCGAATCCCTTAGCCCCAAGACTATGCGTAAGATCCGCAAAGTTTCAAAGGAGACTAAAGCTCCAATCATTACCGAACCACCAAAGGAAGACCTCTCCTTTGGACCAGATCTCTCGGACAGCCTCTCCTCTAAAGGAGTAGGCTTAGCCACAACCGAACTCGTTAACCGAGTTGAAGGTTCCACACCCGCGCCAACACGATAGGTATCGAGTCACAAGAGGCCTACCAGCGTAACTAACCTGACCAATACAGATGGTGATGTCGCTGTAAAAGCCTTAAAACAAGCTAAGAAGAATGTCGCTCGACGAAGGAGGAGATCCCGACGACGAGTACAATTCCAAAAGAGCCGATCCTCCAATCAACACGAGCCATGCGTTTGTGACCTCAGCAAGAGCTATGCGTTTCTGCTCCAAAACGCAAGTCTTACGTTGATGAGCCCAAATACGAACCTCGTGTGATCCAACTAAAACACAACCCTCAAGGGATCGTTCCAAAATCAAATCGTAGTCCTTAGTGACGCGTTCTAACACCAAAACGTAATCCTCCAGGATGCATTTCCCAAACAGAATGCAACTCTCAGGAGTGCATTCCAGAACCAAAATGCAGGTCTCCAGACCGTGTTAATCGGCCTGAACGTAGTTCTCAGGAGAGCATTCTAGAATCCAAATGCAAGTCTTAGGACTGCGTTGACCAGCTAGAATGCAGCCCGCAGAGGCGCGTTTCACCAACAAAATGCATACCTCAGTCATGCGTTCTTCAATCCAAACATGACCCTTACATTTATTCCGTGATGTGTCAAGTTGTGTTCAGGATGATCGACATAAAAAGTCTACGGATTCAATGCATCTCAAGAAGATCCATGTTCACCAGAAGCCAGTCCCGTCCAATCATAGACCGAGAGTTCCGTTTCAAACCTCACGATCAGTGAGTAACTCATCTCAAGCCTCCGTAACAAACTTGAGAGAGTTCATATCAAGAGAAAGACCAATACGAGTCACTCATTCATGCCAATGCGAACGACTGATTTTTACGGTCCTCTCGGGATATCAATGTTGCTCACATGCAGCCAAACCGACAGTATTCAACCGACAGATGAACATTGCCTTGCCAAACCAGTACAATCGACGATGTTCCCATAAGAAGACGACTTCGGAAGAAGAGTACTTTGGAGTCACTTCTAACATGGTGAGTATAGGGCAATCATCAATCCCTAGCTCTGATGAGGCAGAGACGGATCAGTCTTCTAGCTTGAAAGAGATCCTGAGTGAGTTTGAACGAATCTATCAACACACTCGGATTCAAAAGGGAGTCATACCTCCTGTTGATTATCGGAGATTGGCTATAGGAACTAACTCTGATAATGAACACTCAGCCATCGCAAGTCTCAGTCCTCTAGTTCTTTTGTGAAACACGAGAGCTTCACTTACATGGCAGGATATCCTGAAGATCTCGTGAAGAGACTTCATGAGCAGCAAACCATGATCAAAGCACAGCAGGAGGTTATCATTGAACTCTGGATCCATATGACTCAATTCATCGCGGACAGGGCCAAATCTCAGAAGACAGATTTGTCACCTAGGCAAGAATCTTCCCAGAGAGAAAAATCATTTTCATCCCGATCTCACACAAGTAAAGGGAAGGGAAAAGTGGTTGATGATGCTGCTTTTGACCAAGAAGCCCATAACCACAAATCTTCCTCTGAAGATGGAAGAGAGACTGAGAACGAGCAAAATATCCAGTTTGGAAAAATGAAAGAATTGTAAGACCGCCTCAATGCCATAGCCCACAAAAGCGAGCTCCAACTTGAGCGAGTTATTAGGTCCTATCCTGCCGAATGGGATACAACCCCTTATCCTCCAAAGTTTGAAGTCCCAACGCTACGAGCTTTTGATGGGACGGGATCACCGAACCAACATATCTATCATTTCAAGTCACAGACTGGGAATGTGATATCGAACGATGTTATATTAGCTCGTTTGTTTATTAGCACCCTCAAGGGGGTTGTCTTTGAATGGTTCATGAAACTACATGTAGGATGTATCCAAAAGTGGGTGAATTTAGAGAGACTCTTCCTATCAAGATTCTTTGAAGACGATACAGAATTCTCCATCCATACCCTTCTTGCCACTAAGCAGAAGAAGAGGGAGTCCGTCAAAGCCTTCGTTAATAGGTTCTGAAGCATGACTCTTTGATATTCGTTAGGTATGATACAGTCTACCCTGGTGGAGACCTATCGACACAACTTGTAGACCAACCTTCTAGTACAAATGAGGATTGCAGAATGTCGTTCATGGAGACAACTAATATCTCAAGGTGAACAGGCTCAAAAAATTATTACCAGGGTCAAAGCTGAAGAACAAAGTAAGCAAGATCAACCTGAGTAATGGGACCAAGCCCAATCTTCCCAATATACTACGGCTACTGAAACCAATCATCTTCAATAGGATGGCGGATCCACCAAACTATCAAGTTAACAATACACCTCTGATAGTTAGTTTCCTCTAAATTCCCCACCAATCATCTTCAATAGGATGACGGGTCTACCAAAACTATCACGTTAATAATTACCTCTAATAGTCTATTTTCTCCAAATCTTCCCACCAATTCTCTTCAATAGGATAGCGGGTTCACCAAAACTATCACGTTAATAGTTACCTCTGATAGTCAAACTCGTCAGTCAGATAGTGGTCTACCAGGTGACGTGTCTTTATTCCGACTTGATGGATAGCGGCCCATAAGGCGATGTGCCATGTCTACCCTTTTTTTCTTCTCCTGCTAAGTCTTAATCAAGACTGGGGTTGGTTACTTAGAATCCCTTGGGTTAAGAGTAACAAATCTTCTAAGTTATCATATTCAACAAAAGACCTCTGTCAACTGCAAAATTCCTCCCCTGCTAAGTCTTAATTAA